TATATTGATCACCATATTACCTTTTGTTAAAAAGTACTAAAAACACATTTGATGCACACAACAGCTTTAACCGGTTTCAGTTTCTTGTGTCACTGCACTGAAGTCAGCCTCATGGACTGTAGATGTACCATGCAAACCCGTTAGCTCTACAAAGCCCAATTGGGAAGTTTGGGAATGAATGGAATTGAATGGGCAAAGTTAGGCTACCACTCTCTGGCTCCCTTTGACTTACATTGAGGTATAAACTACAATAGCACAAGTGGGAACAGACCTGCCCTGCTGCTGATTGGTTCTTCAGTTGCTCGGTTGTTGGCATCCAGGACACTGGCTCCAGATTTGAGTCGACTCTAATCTGCTTTTTCCGACTCTTGTCTATGGTCTGGCCTTGATGCAACAGAACGGTAGAAGGTGGAGGACTGTGCAACATAGCAAACAAACCTTTTGAGTTCTACCCCATGGGAGATAGCAAAGTTTAGCTCAAAAATTCTATGAATCAGATTTTAGCTGCATACATCGAAAACGCTGCCTCCCCATGTTTTATTTATCTAACACCAAATCAACATCAGAAGTAGCTGCAAGGGGTAAGCAATTTCCAAGCCAGATTTATAGAGAAGGCAAAAAACCTTTCCTAAACCTAATGTAAGAGTAGTAAAAGTTTCAATGCATTTTAACTATGTTCCACAAATGCCATTACTGGTCAATGAGATACAACACAGACTTATACTGCTACTAAAACGTAATAGTCTCTGCGTTTTGAGATTGTTTTCAGAAAGAAAAAAAGTGCAATTGCTTTGTCCGATCAGCACCATGTTTTTAACAGGTGTGACTTTACTGCAGCAGAACCACCGGGAGACATATTGTTTTTATTTGACGACCGTTGGCATCGGGCCGAAGCAGAGAAGCCCACTGATATATTCATTTGCCACGACGGGAAACTGAAATCAATCCTGTAAAAGGGCACTTAATGCACCTCCATTATCTGCAAAGGAGAGTCTGGGCTGCAGAGAGAATGGAGGCAGTAAAAAACACAAATGCTGCGAAATTATTTGTTATAATAGTTTTTTTTCTCACAAGATGCCTCAAGTTTCAATGAATGGGTTTGTATTCAGTGGTCAAATATACCTATGGGTATAATGATAATGATAAAGGAGGGCTGCTGCCATTGTGTTAAAGGAGACGTTTTATTCATCTCAATTCAATTATTTTTGTGTCGCCGTAAATCCCACCAGCAGTCGTATCAGAGGACTTTACAAAGTTGTCAATTCCTCAACAACAAATCAAAGAATCTAAACACAGGAAATAAAATAATAGCAAACAATCAGCACGGTAGCACAGAGGTTAGAGTTTGTGTTTCACCGCAAGAAGGTCCTGGGTTCGATTCCACTTCCAGGCCTTTCTGTGTGGAGTTTGCATGTTTCTCCCCGTGTCTGCGTAGGTTTCCTCCGGGTGCTCCGGTTTCCCCTACCACTAAAAACATGTACAATATCTAAATGTAATGAGGATAGTGTTGATTGGTGTTGAAAAAAACAAATTGGGAAAAAAGTGAGAAACCTGAGGGAGGCCTGTATTGAGAGAGGAAACCACTCCCACAGATGGACAGGCTGTAGATAAAGGAATCAGGCTGTAGAACGAGGACTGAGGCTGTAAAGTGCAGGACTGGAGAGGCTCCCAGGCAGAAAGGGGGAAGCAGCCCATGAATCCAGGCCGTGGGAGACTTATTAGGCAAAAATCAAGTTGTCACCCACAATAATAATCTAATGAACTGATTTATTTTAATGGAGGTAATAACTTATGCTTCAGTCAACTCCTTTTGAGCCACATGAGGTGTGATCTATATGGTATTTTGCATGTATAAGACAACTAAGAACTTGATAAATTAGATTAAATGAAATAAATTATTCTTAAATCTAATAGTTTGATGAGCCAAGGCCCTTTTAACACAGAAAATGTTCAAATACAGAGGGGTCTGCATGTCTAATGTCATCTCCGCCATAGAAATGTCCGTTTGGGTAACCGTGGAAAACTAAAAGGGTTTCTGGACCTGGTTTATTGTGATTGATGCTGGAGTAGAGCTAAGTTAACCAGGTGTATAACAGCACAAGCAATATGTGGTCAAATTAAATCCATGTTGGACGTGAATGGGCTGCTGAATAACACTGTGCAGGTGAGACCCGCTGACCCCTGGCCATTCATTACAGACACAGATGTGGCGCCGGGACCTTATTAGGACACGCAATGAAAGGATGCCGTAAAACACACAATGCACTTTCAAATGGAGTGGGGGGCTTTGGGAATATTTATGTGTCATTGGAGGTGATTGTTTAGAAATTAATTTTAATAAAAACAAGCCTATTTGTCTGTATGGTTGTTGTTTCAGTGGAGAGCTTGTCAAAAAGGTTGGAAAAGAAAAAGAATACAATATTTTTTTAAACTATCTTTTAATATAATATAATTCAATGTATTTATGGATAGCCCTAAATAACAACAGCAGTTGCTTCGAGGACTATACAAAGTTGTCGATTCCTCAACAACACATCAAAGAATGAAACACAGTTTAAACACAAGTAATGTAATATTTCAAACACATAGATCCATTGGTTTGAAAGGAGCAGAATTACCTCTGCCCAGAAATGTTAACGAAAGTCCTTAAAATGTCCCGGATCATCACTGACCCTAATGCATAAGCAAGGAGCAACTCAAAAAAGCCAAGTGGGAAATCTCAGGTGTTCATTTGTAACTTAAAGCTAACCTAAAGCTTTGTTTTCTCATACAGTGCCTTTGCAAAAGTATTTGGGCCCTTGAACCTTTGAACATTTCGCCACATTTCAGCCTTCAAACATAAAGATATAAAAATCAAATTTTTTGTCAAGAATCAACAACAAGTGGGACACAATCGTGAAGTGGAACAACATTTATTGGATAATTTAAATTTTTTTAACAAATAAAAAACTGAAAAGTGGAGCGTGCAATATTATTCGGCCCCCTTGCGCTAATACTTTATAGCGCCACCTTTTGCTGCAATTACAGCTGCAAGTCGCTTGGGGTATGTCTCTATCAGTTTTGCACATTGAGAGACTGGAATTCTTGCCCATTCTTCCTTGCAAAACAGCTCGAGCTCAGTGAGGTTGGATGGAGAGCGTTTGTGAACAGCAGTCTTCAGCTCTTTCCCACAGATTCTCGATTGGAATCAGGTCTGGACTTTGACTTGGCCATTCTAACACCTGGATACGTCTATTTGTGAACCATTCCATTGTAGATTTGGCTTTATGTTTTGGATCATTGTCCTGTTGGAAGATAAATCTCCGTCCCAGTCTCAGGTCTTTTGCAGACTCCAACAGGTTTTCTTCCAGAATGGTCCTGTATTTGGCTCCATCCATCTTCCCATCAATTTTAGCCATCTTCCCTGTCCCTGCTGAAGAAAAGCAGGCCCAAACCATGATGCTGCCACCACCATGTTTGACAGTGGGGATGGTGTGTTCAGGGTGATGAGCTGTGTTGCTTTTACGCCAAACATATCGTTTTGCATTCTGGCCAAAAAGTTTGATTTTGGTTTCATCTGACCAGAGCACCTTCTTCCACATGTTTGGTGTGTCTCCCAGGTGGCTTGTGGCAAACTTTAAGAGACTTTTATTGGATATCTTTGAGAAATGGCCACTCTTCCATAAAGGCCAGATTTGTGCAGTACACGACTGATTGTTGTCCTATGGACAGACTCTCCCACCTCAGCTGTAGTTATCTGCAGTTCATCCAGAGCGATCATGGGCCTCTTGGCTGCATCTCTGATCAGTCTTCTCCTTGTTTGAGATGAAAGTTTGGAGGGACGGCCGGGTCTTGGTAGATTTGCAGTGGTCTGATACTCCTTCCATTTCAATATAATTGCTTGCACAGTGCTCCTTGAGATGTTTAAAGCTTGGGAAATCTTTTTGTATCCAAATCCGGCTTTAAACTTCTCCACAACAGTATCTCGGACCTGCCTGGTGTGTTCCTTTGTCTTCATGGTTCTCTCTGTGCTTTAAACGGAACCCTGAGACTATCAAAGAGCAGGTGCATTTATACGGAGACTTGATTACGCACAGGTGCATTCTATTTATCATCATCAGTCATTTAGGACAACATTGGATCATTCAAAGATCCTCACTGAACTTCTGGACTGAGTTTGCTGCACTGAAAGTAAAGGGGCCGAATAATATTGCACGCCCCACTTTTCAGTTTTTTATTTTTTTTTTTAAGTTTAAATTATCCAATAAATTTCGTTCCACTTCACGATTGTGTCCCACTTGTTGTTGATTCATGACAAAAAAATAAAATTTTATATTTTTATGTTTGAAGCCTGAAATGTGGCAAAATGTTGAAAGGTTCAAGGGGGCCGAATACTTTCGCTAGGCACTGTAAAATAATCTGTTCTGGTTCTATCAAGAAATTGAAGCCGGAGCAAGAGGAATGTTTAGTTAGCGGCAAAGGAGATGGCTAGGCTAAATGCTAAATGCTAACAACACACTCGGGCGCATTACATACGTTTCAATCTGCAAAAGGAGTTAACCCCTCCCACCTGTAAACAGAGCTCAATGGAGCACCTCCAGACCTTAGTACAAAATGTAATTTGTACTATGGTGTGGTACGATCAGGCCACCACAACATGCCATCTTCATCATATTAGAAAGCATGTCATCATTTGTATAATTGTAATGGACGTTTGGGATTAGAACATGATCGGCAGAGTGAGGGTGACTATCATTCACACAATACTATGCAAATATAAAAAATACAGTGCAGTAACATTTAAAAACACAGATAGTTTAATTAGTGGTATGGTATAGGAAATAACATGAGGAGACAGCGTTTCAGATTCATGCAGCTAAAATCTGGAACAGGCTTCCGGAAAATGTGAGACAGGACTCTACTATGACAATGTTCAAATCCAGGTTAAAACCGTTCATCTGGGTTAAAGGCGACAGAGCCATGTCTGTTTCCAGTGAGTCTGAAGCTGTGTTTTTCTTTAAATGATACCTGATCTTTTCACGCCCCCAGTGGCCTCTCCGGGACCATCAGTCAGCGGGACGTCCTGCCCGAGTGCAGCTCTGAGTGGGAGGTTTGTGAGCGATGGCCTGCGCCGCAAGGAGGAGTGTGCGTGGGTCAAATGCCACTCGTCCAGAGACACGGAGAGACGAGGATTCCACCTGGGCAAGAACGGAGCCCGGAGTCACGGCTCTCACCATCAGTCATCGAGAAAAGGGCAGGAGCCGAGATGTGGTGAAGCTGCACGGCATTTTAAAAAGATCCATCTCACCTAGATATGATTTAGAAATTGGAAGTTATGACCATTTTTCCCCCAAAGGTTCATTATCGGGACTGAAATGTTAAACGTGTCAAACTCTGTAATGTGATGTCAAAACTAACTCAATAAAGAGTTGAGCCATTTAAAACATTTCCAGAAATGTGAAAATACAAGAAATGATTCAGTTGGAATGAGACTGCTCTAATAACAAGTGTTATAATAATAATTGTTCTATTGGCAAATCTTGTTTCTCTCTAGAACTCCCACAGCAGTCAATTTGACGGCTTTTAGTTTTGGAATTGTAATCACTGAGTTTATGTCAATTTTTTGTCTTCATAACTTCTTTTCTGTTTCATCATGTAGTTTATTAATTAAAGGCGCTATACCCGTTTCTACAATGTTTGAATGTTTAGCACCGCCCCCCAGCTCGCTCACAGGCTTCTCATTTCCCCTACGCTCTCATAACACGGAGCCACCTAGTTTTATTTGCGATCTGACATGTATGCTAACATTAGCATTAGCACAACTTCTCGTAAGCCGTGCAACAATCACTGATGAAATGGTACTAAAGCAATGCACTGCTAACACAATATATAAGTAAAAGAATACTGCTAGTTTCGCGTCCGGATGTATTAATTTAAACATTAGAATATATTCTAATATTTAATTATAATTTATTATACAGTTCCTCACAGCGGCAGTACTCCATTGACTTGAATGCAATTCTTCCGATCATTTTTTCTTGATAACAGAACTCTCAAACCAATAATGACCGAAGCCCCAATGCAATCCCTGTTTGTAATTCAGGTGTGTAAAATACTGCCATTACTTTGCAAGTACAAAACGCTATCAGCACCTGTCACTACACACTTGTCTGTGTAGAGAAGCTAGCGGAGCTAGCGGAGCTAGCCACGCTCAATAAACAAATACATATCTATCAATCAACACCATTAAACGTTAATCGGACAATACAGTACACATATATATCCTTAACACACATGCACGGACGATTTCAGAATTTGCTGTCAACGTTTTCATGACAAAAATACTGTTTTAAAGTGACAAAAAGCGATCGCGAAAAACCCGGAAGTTACCATGAAACAGCTAGCTAGCTTAGCTGTTACCTGCCTAGCACGTCCCGGGGAAACCTTTGGGAGCTAACTATTTTATTTGCAGTCATTAAATACATTTCGAATTATAAGGGTTGTCTAATATTTGTTCAAATATGTATATATTTTTTATTTTAGAATTATATTCGAATTTTGAAGTTGAAGTCCTGGTGTTAAGCAGCGCTGTAGAGGCTAGAGGACGCAGGCTGTTCGCTTCTTGTTCTGTGAGCGGAGGAGAACGAGCGGCCCGCTCAGACTCTACTCAGCACTTTTCACTGCCTGAATTTCATACACAGTGGAATCAATGACCTCAAGTTTTCAATTAAATTGTGTGTTATCATACAACTTGTATGTAGTAAAAATGAACTACTTAGAAAAAAAATCGGGTATAGCTTCTTTAATTTTCATTTCTTGTATTTAAAAAAATTGAGTAATTAAAACTTTAACTCCAAGAGCAGTCGTTTTGACTACTCCTATGGCACCTGAAGTCCTTTTTCATGGGGCTGGTCCTTGACTGTGTCTGGACTGGGTCTGGTTCAGATAAGAGCCAGGGTGTGAAACACACCGTTTACCTGCAGCAGTTAGGTCTAAAGAGGCATCCTGAACAGATGCCCGAGCCACCTCAACTGGGTCCTCTCGACTACATTGTTCAGCCTTTTTTATTGATTGTTGGAAGGAACAATAAATAGTGGGATTCAAGTGCTCCTCAGTGTCCCAGCAGGAGGCCTGTACCTGTGCTCCTCAGAGTCCCAGCAGGAGGCCTGTACCTGTGCTCCTCAGTGTCCCAGCAGGAGGCCTGTACCTGTGCTCCTAAGAGTCCAATTTGGTTCATATGGCACTTACATGTCACAGATGTACTTTGGTGCGAGGCCATGACTTCTAACAATCAGAGCTGCTAAAGTCTATTCTCTGAGCCACAGGAAGCCAGTGCAGAGACCTGAGAACTGGACTAATGTAATAATACTTCCTGGTCTCAGTCAGGACTAGAGCTGCAGCGGATAGGGATCAACACAAAGTTTTCCTGAGTCACTGGCCTTCAATTTCCAAGTTAATCCATTTAAGTTCAGTCTCAAGTACTAATGACTTGAGTACACACTGTGGCCTTCTCAGTATCCAAGAAAAAAAACAATTACAATTAATGATCTCCTGATCCAATTCTCCTTTAAATAGAATCACGTTTAGAATAGAATCTTGTTTATTCTCATTAAGCAAACCATAATGTCAGATTAGACTAATGTTGGCAGAACTCTAGAGCGGGAAGTGACACAAAACTGAGAGACAGTGATGATCCGGGACATTTATGGACATCGGTCGTTGAATTTCAATACCAGAAAAGCCATTACAAAAGCATTTAGGACAGAAGAAGGTCCTTTACAAGACTTACAATTTGCTCTTTACCAAGTTGTTTTTTGTTGTTGTTTTAAAGCCGGATCTGTTTTACAGCCATACAAATGAAGTTTAACGTCTCTTGAGAATCAATAACAAAACATTTTTAAATTGCAGCTTGAAGAATACAACTTCTGGAAAAATTTTCAAAAGGAATTATCTGTTTTTGCAAATGAACTTGCCATATAAGTGAAAGCCAACTGATAGAGCTGTGCCAGGTCCAAGTTTAGCCTGACAGACTGCTGCTCAGGGCAGTGGGTCACTCCAGTGTGATACGGTTAACTCCTAAAGAGGATTTCTTTTTCAACCTGAGCTCCAGTCGCCTACTGACCTATGGTTTGTGAAGTTGGCATGAAGATTTCTAGAGATTTTACAACCAAAGCACCATTTAAAATAAGTAACATGGAAAACACTGTGAACCTATAGACCAGGGGTGTCAACTGGGACCTTCAAGGGCCAGTGTGGCTCCTTCCAAACAAAAAGGAGCACGCCACACTCCACCCATTTCCTCAGGTCTCCAGGTTAAGACTGGACTCACTTAAAGGAATGGGTTGAGTCTGTGTGGTCCTGCTTGGTTGGAATGAAAACCTGCAGCCACACATTTGAGGAGTGAGTTGAAACCCCTGCTATAGACTATAAAAATTCACTTGGTAGACACGTATTTTGATCAGTTTGAACCGGACGAGGGCATTTATCTGTTTTTTCCAGACGTCAATTTACCTGTGAGGGAGGAAAATCAGATAAATGTCTAATTTAAGATTATTGATCAAAATGCATCCCCCGGTGTATTGATTGTGCCTTGCCGGCTTGAGTTCTTAATGAAGTGAGAACATGAAGTCCGGACCATGTGTTTACCTCAAGTATCCCATCACCAACTGTCCTCTTTCTGGTTAAAGCGTATTGGGAATTCTCAATTTTCTGGTCACATCATCTGTCAGGTGTGTGCCTTCTGATGTCCGAAGTAGGTAAAAGGAAAGTGTAGGCCTACTGTCTTAAAATAAAAATGAGGATCTTTCTTATCCATGCATTTGTCTTCAGTAAGTTAGACTAGACTCCCTGGGCTCTCTGTCATGGTGTGAATTTTGTTATTTTGGTACTTGGTTTTATGTTGACATCAGTTCACACACACACAGACACAGACACACAATTAACATTCTTGTGTGACTCTGAACCCCTCCCCTTCCATTTCCTACTCACAGTTATGTAAAAACTACTCTATACATAACTTCTGTGTATGTCCTCCCCTATCACTGGGTGTTGAAAATGCAATAAAAAAATAAAAAAATAAAAGTTATCTGGTTTTATTTTAACTTCTTGCCCTGTTCCCTTGTTGATTGTCTGCTCCGCTCTAAAGCCTAGCGTACATCGACAGAGAAACTGGGGACAACTAGTTGCAAGGCGGCTTTTGGCAACTGAGAGGAGATGGTGGGAGATGATCAGTTGCCAAAATCGGTCGATGTGCGCACTCTTACAACTGGAGATGATCAGTCGGTCTCCAGTTCCAGTCAGTTGCCCGTGTTCTACTTTTCGGCAACTAGTTGTCCTCAGTTGCCCCGATGTGCGCGCTCCATGCGCCGCTCCAACAACGTGTGTGTATTGCGAGCCCGCAACAGTTTGTTGTCAGAAAACACACTGTAGTTGAGGCCAGTTGCTGTCGATGTACGCGCTGTTATTCAAGAGACTGGCCTGCGACTCAGAGTTGCCCGTTTTCGCCAGATTGTCGATGTGTGCGGGGCAGCAACTCAGAGGCGACGGATATAATCAGTTGCCAGTCCGATGTACGCTAGGCTTAATGTGTGTGCTCAATCCCACTTGTGGCTGGTCCATTGTCAATGTCTTAGCTTGTCTTTGTCTGTTCCTGGTTCCGTTTGGATTTTGAGTTTGTTTTTTTCATTTTGAACTTTTATTTATCATTATTAAACCATTATTATTATTTCTGCATTTTGGGTCCTCCTTCACTTCCCCACATGACACTCTCCAAACAAGTTTTAAAACCCTGCAACTCCAGTTTAGGGCCTGCGTCTCTGTCAGATCTTAAGATCAGCTGTTTCCTTACTCAAGCACACTAAAGATAACATGTTTTCTTATCAGATAGAAACAACATTCTCCACATTTTACTTTCACTAAGCTCTTCCTGCTGGGACAAACACCAAAACATCAGGTTATATTAGAGCAGGGATCTCCAACCAGTTTCAATTGGAGAGCTACTTTTACGCAACAAAAGAGGCAGAGAGCTACTCCTTTTTTGCATTCTGATTAAAAAAATAACACATACATATACTGTAAAACCCTCTACTTATACTCATAATAGATATGTAATGACTCAATGTATTCATTCAAGATAATTTGTTGAATTCTAAATCTATTGGGAAGCTATTTGAAAGGGACTGGTGAGCTACAGGTTGGAGACCCCTGCATTAGATGTATTAGCATGTAAAAGTCTTTAAAAAAAGTGTAAATATGAAGCCCTGCAGTGGTTTATTCCAAGCAGAGTCTGCCCATCCATGTCTGATCAAAGCAGGCAAATGATAGAATAGATTCCAAGGCACTTCAACAATGATAGAGATGCTTTTCGCTTTGATGTCGAACCACTCTCGCTTGTATCCTGAAGTCACTCTTGCCCAAACTCGCCTCCAACCTCATTCCCCAAAGTGCTCTTGACAAAAGAGTCCCCCTGCAGTTGGGCTATCCCAGTGCAGAGGGCTGATTGATTTAGTGACAAGGAGGGCCCAAATCTGTCAGAAATGAGAGCAGCACTTTCCCCTCCATCACCGTGACGCAGAGAGGACCCCAAGGTCGCGTCCTGAGCAGTGAGCTGAGCAGAGTGCTGACGTACGGGCAGCCGAGCAGACGAGGCGATCGCAGGGGCGTCGAATCCGCTTTAGATGAGCCAGCATCAGCCTAAACACTCGATATGGGGATGAGAAAAGACACCGCAAGACCTACTGGGCGTCAATTTCACACCCGAGTTCCTATGTGTTTACTGTTTGGCGCCACCACGGACAAAGCTAAAGCTGGGCTGCTGAACTTGTTGGTTTCGTAAATGATGAAGTGTTTCGCTTCAACAGAAACAGTAGAAGTACAGTATGGTAACTTGAGTACCATCCTCTACTTCTCTCCTGCTTTATCTGTCATTGTTATGGCTTCAGCTGCAGTATGTTCATTGTCATTCACCTGCTGTCCCATTGTCTGGTTCATGGCGTGATGATGGGACCCCTGAAACCGGCCTCTTTCATCTGCAACTGTGGACTGGTTTCCCCGGCCTGGACTTGTGGACTGCACTCCCCTCCCCGCCTGGGAGCCTCTTCAGTCCTGCAGCCTCAGTCCTCGTTCTACAGCCTGAGCCTGGATCTACAGCCTTTCTCAATGTTGGTTCCCGAGCCTAAGGACAGTGATGATCCAGGACATTTATGGACATCCCTGTGGACCAATCGCTCCTATGTGTTTGTTATTATGTCATTTCCTGTGTTTGAACAGTTTGATTCTCCGATCTATTGTGGAAAGAAATTACAATTTTGTTCTTCAAGACAACTGCTGTCAACGCGGAGTTCCATCCTGCAACCTTTTTTGCTGTGATGCACATGTCCTATACCCACTGTGCCACTTACAAATACATCAGAGGGCAAAAGAAACAAATTTGCTAGAAAGAGAGGGCCGGACTGATTCAATGTGTATTAAAACATATTAAAATGATTGCATGAAACCTATTGAATCAAGACACAACACAGTGTACTGTATTTTATTAAATGATTAAATTAATAATCCAATATTTTTGTATGGCTCTGTGTTGGCCGGTTCTATTACTAAGAGAATTCCTTCGTGGGTCGGATCTGGCCCCGGGGCCTTGACTTTGACACCCATGATGTATAGCATTCCAGTACAGTGTAATACATTTCTGAACTGTATCTTTGTAAAGACTTTTCAGTGTGAAGCTAAACTAAAGGGAAAGTAATATTGATATTTTGTCCTATCTTGTTCTAATGTATTCATGCAATTAAAGCCAGCACACTTTTAGCTGCAGACGCTGTCATTTGGGTTAGGTTAATTACTGCACCTCAAACCTGTTCTGTGACCCACTTTCTCCTCCTTCACTCTGCCGCCGTCCTCAGCCCTCAGTCAAAACCAATGCTTTTTGTTTTGCATGTATTTAAACAATGTTTGAAAGAGCCACATTTTTGCACAAAAGCAAAGAGAACCTTGGTTTTTATTGTGCAGCCTTTTCATTAAAACAATTTTGACAAATTCAAAGAAGGGTTTGTGGGAAATGCTTGCTGCTTGTTTCTCATGGAGACACTGGATTTGAAGGTTGTGCAGTTTGCAAAACACAAGCACAAGATAAAATGAAGAGGGAAAGCTTTTATGATAGATTTCAGCAAATAAGACAATCGTTCAACACTAGAACTCCCAGAGCAGTCAATTTGACGGCTTTTAGTTTTGGAAGAATAATTACTCTAACCAAAACAGTGAATGCCCTTCACGGTTCTGGTCCTGGACTGATCCTGGACCGGTTCTGGTTTGGCTTGGTTTTCCACCAAAGAAGAGCCAGTGCTAGTAACCATAGCAACACACTGTACCCTCAGCAGTCAGCATTTAGTCTTTCACCAAACTGTTTTTGCTTGAGTTCAAGTTATATTTACCAGATTTAGCAATTATTAAAGAATAATTACTCTGTGTGGAGTGAGAGACAAGTGCCCAAAAAATAACAACTGTAAACCGCTTTGTGACTCTGGTCTGTGAAAGGCGGTATATAAATAAAGCTTACTTACTTACTTACTTAAAAATCTTTTTGTCATATTTTTTTAGATGGAAAAACGCTGGTGATGTTATGGATTAGAAAGTTTGTTACCAAGCGACAGAAAATGACTACATTTGAACTTTAGTTAAAGGTAGACCACCGTGTACGGCGTGAATGAATAATGACACGTGTCTTTATGGATGTGGCTCTGAACGTTTAACGTAATAAAGGACTTAAAAACAGCACCACGAGGCTGCTGAAGGCTATCCTTTCACTGCCACACTAATGACATAAAAACATGGATGAATTCTGGAATAAACCAAGAATAAATCCATTTACATGACTAATCAATTACAAGCCAAAATTCCAGAAACAGAATCCCCAAATTTGTCAACAGCAGATTCATTAAAATTGGTCAAAACACTGTAACCAAGGTGCACCTGGAGCATCCCCTGGTCCTTAAACCCATCAAATCAATGGAATTCTGAGAAATTTTTTAGAGTTTTTTTATTTACTCACTTTTAATAATAGCTATAACCTTTGAATATGAAATTGCAGCAGAGTGCCGTAAGCAGTGTGTCGCTATGGTAACTATGGAAAACAAAGCTGGACCAGAAGCTGGACCAGCACCTTGGAAAAACCAAGCTTTAACTACCACAGAATGTCTACATTCTACACAAGTAGAATGAACGAAGCCGTCAAAATGACTTCTCTGGGAGTTCACGGTAGAATACTCACCTTTCAAAAATAAAAAATGAAATAATTAAACGAATGACACATAAACTGAATATAGAAACAGAAAAAGACCACAAACGCACATGAGTCTCAATCAGATTTTTCATGTCAATTTTTTCTTGTGATTCGCATTCAAAGCCTTTACTCCCGTGTGCACATCTGATCCCTGGAGCAGTTGTAACACAGCAGCAGACTCAGAGCGTGTTGGAGCTGGTCTCGAAGCCCTCATCGAGCGGCCTGGAACGCATTAACCCTCGCAGGGCCGGTTCTAGGCGCGCAGGCAGCGGCTCCGATCCCCCTGATGCTGTGTGTTAATTAGGCCTGAGTTAGTGGACGTGCTGGAGCTTGTCTGGTGGCTGACCTGCGGAGACGGATTAGCCTCTCCAGCTGCCCCTGCCTGCTCTGGCTACACGCTAATGCTGCTTTTATTACCGAGGCAGGTGACGCGGCCCGATCGCTCACTCGGCACAACCGCGGGGGCATCTGGTAACAAGGTGTGTTGCGGTTAGCTGGACACAAAGCAGAGCGCAGAGGCAAATTACTGTGTCAAGTGTGTAGCTGCATGTACTGGTTAGATTTACTGGGGTTTGTCAAACGTATGGGAAAGAAGATCGATTATAAAACTATAGTGTTATGAAACTACAGCTTTATTTGAAACAAGTAAACATTTAAAAACAGAAAAACTAGACAAATATGGCTGTTGTTGGACCGTTTCTAAAAGATACTGGGAAGGATCTACTCCACTCTTTTCTGGTCTAGTCTAATCAAACAGTACCTTGAAAGAACGTGACCAAAACAGGGCTCAGCAAAACGCAACGGCTAGAGTCCTCACAAATACAAATAAATGTGATCATATCATGCCAGTTTTACAATGCCTACTCTGGCCTCCAGTCTTTTATAGAAGAGACCTAAAGATTCTCCTCTTGTGAACAAAGCACTGAATGGACTTGTCCTAAAATATGTGCAAGATAAGCTTGTTCCAAATGTCAGCGGAGGGTCCTCTGGTCTCAGGTCTGGGACAGGTTTCCTCCTGTGTCCCAGAGATCAGGACCAGAAAGAGTGAGGCAGATTCTAGTTTTCTGGTCCTTGTCTTTTTTAAATTATTGTTATCAGTACAGCTGGATGCTTGTGTACGTATTTATTTATTTATATACATATTGTACTTATTGCTTTACATGTTTTTATTCCCCAAAATGTTTCCTTCTTTTCTTCTGTTCTTTATAAATAAATTTGCCTTGCATTGCCAAAAATAGCATCATTTGTATTTTGTTTTCAAATGAGAAGAGCTGAAAGTAGAACTCCTCACTTTTCAAAATTAAAAGATGATTTATTCTTTTAAAGTAAAAACAACTAGAAACAGAAAAAGTTCAAAAATGTTCATAAGCCTAGTGACTGCATAACCAAAACCCGTCAAATTGACTGCTCTGAGCGGAACCAGAAGAAATCAAGAACGTGTTTCCATCCCTGGTTGGAAACACACCATTCACCAATAAACACACCACATCCTCCAAGATTGACGCATTCTCTCAAAAACGCCACATAGACGTCTCATTTAACTGATAACCGTGTATCCCTCGATGTGCATGCTTCATCCATCGTCCCGAATGGCCCATAAACAGCATGTGACATCACCACACCCTATTCCTCCACATAAGCTGCACTTGGAGAGAGATGAGAGCGCAGGCATTTGTTCTGCACGCACACAAAGAGAACAGTTGATGTGACGCCTTCTGAGGACGCTCCATCGCATTCCTCCATCCTGGATCTGCGTTTTGACCCGAGCATGTGGTATTGTCGTGCAGGGAGGGCTTTTTTTACACGCATGTCTGCTCCAACCAACCCAGGCGGCCTGAGCTGACGCCAAACGAGGACACCTGGCCTGGATCTATGGCCAATGGCAATCCCCGAAGCGTAAGACCAGAGATTAGCCAATAAAATCCACTTTATGGGGTTAATCAGTATCTCGACTTCACTCTGCTCTTTGCTGTGCCACACAAGTTGGAAAAAAGCCTGTTCCTTGAAAATAAATGTCATAATGTGTTTAAACAGACATACAGTACCAACTTCAATGCTTACTAATTATTTTTACAGAATGGTTTAGAGTGGAAAGCCTCTATGTATTTTTTGGCAATAAAGTAAGTTTATATGTATATTTGTAGTGTCACACAGTTCATACACAGGGCAACGCAAAGTGCCAAACAAAACAAGATAGAAACAACAACACAAGGCATTCAAATAATCATAAATAATCTCAGTATATTAATTAGAGTGAAGACACTATCCTTCAGTTGTATGCACAGCTAAAGAGAGCGTTTTTTTAACCTGGATTTGAACATAGAATAGAAGCCTGTCTCACATTTTCAGGGGGACCAGATTTTAGGTGCATTATTCTGAAACACTGTCTACCCATGTTAAGTCCTGACCAGACCTGTGCTCCTCAGAGTCCGAGTTGGTTCATATGGCACTAACATGTCAGATGTACTTTGGTGCGAGGCCGTAGAGAGACGTATACACAGTGCTCTAAAGTCTATTCTCTGAGCCACAGGAAGCCAGTGTAGAGACCTGAGAACTGGACTAATGTGATTGTACTTCCTGGTTCTAGTCAGGACTCGAGCTGCAGCGTTCTGAGTATAGTATGGCAAATAATATACTGTTTGCAGCACGTCTGGAGAGCCAAGTGAACAGCCCGTTCAGTAATGTATTTCACAATACAGTAGAAATTACAGTTTGCTCAGTCAAACTTGTTCCAGCTGTTGTTGCCCTCTTTCTACTTTTGTTTAATATGTTGGAATATTGCAAAGTACAAGAACATCTGCTCTACTAGGGAACATGAAACTTACATTCTCCTTTGTTTTGATATACTGTATAACCAACATTTACAACATTGACTTTGTATTTTGCTCTCCCACACAAGCTGGAATGCATTGATGGATTCCAAAAAAAAAAGAAACGCCATCTGAACGCTGTGATGTAACATGCTGTAGGTGTAAGTTACTATCCACCTTTGCAAATTTTGCTCAATCATGTTTTTTCCACGCCAAAACTCCCATCGGTCACCTCTGAGCCTCCTGTGGCGACGAAAGTGCAGTTTTTGTGCTGACATGGGACATTGGCTGGCTCCTGGCTGCAGAGAAAGTCCTGGGATAAAGAGCTTTTCCATTAAATCCCTGATAGCCTCCCCAGCTCCAAGAAGACTTATGGGGCGACTGCAGAGGAGGAGGCGCAGGACGGGTGTTGATTTTGGGGCTTATGGTCGGAGTTGTAGTGGAAGGCGGGGGCTGGGTAAACATGCAGGGGGCAGCAATTGCAGGAGAAAAAGGCTTTACTCTGGACTCATGACGGGCATCGACGTGCCAAGACTGAAGCCAAGAGGTCACCTTTGAACACGGCAGACTCGTGAAGAGACAGCAGCGAGTTAAGAGAAGTATTTGTTTGAACACGTCCACAACAAAAGGCTGGAAATGTAAAATGAGTGAGGATTGAAAGGGTCGGTTTTCGAGAGGCCAAAAGCTCTTTACAATGTTAGTGCTATGGACCAAACGTTTGCAGCAATGTTTGGAGCTATATTGATGTAAGGTTTAGATGTCATCATGTGTATGCATTGTCCTGCTGTGTAAGTAGAAATATAATGTGTTTTTTTAACACTAACACTCCCAGAGCAGTCATTATTAGATCCCTGCTCGGGCCTATTATCTGGGCCCAAAGGGGTGGCGCCCCAGCCCGGCCTGGCCCGACATAGTTTCTGAATTCTTAAGCCCAAACCCCTATCAAGCCGACTTGTTTTTTTTTTATTTTTTTTTTAACTTCCCAAAACAATGTCTTAGCGTAGTATATAGTGCCGCTCACTGATATGAACACAGACCCAACTAGAGGGCAGAGTTATACATGGTAGTGATGTGTTGGAATGAGTTCTGTGTGTACGGAGTGAACGGCCGCAGCTGTATGATACACAGCTGTATGATACACAGATGCTGTATGATACACAGATGCTGTATGAACACAGATGCTGCAATAAACTACAACACACTTGAAGGTAACGCTGTGTCGTCAATGACAACACTACACAGAACAACAAACACTACAGCGTGATAGCACGCTATATTAATTGCGTGCGTTCGTAAATGTAATCTGCCGCTCTGAAAATGAAGAAGTGCCAGAGCCAGGCCCGTGTCCGAGGTCATTATAGGGTCATCGGCCCGAAGCCCGGTCCTCGGGCAGTCGGGCCCCTCGGGCCTAGGGCTCAAGTGCAGGGCTCTAATTTTGTTGGCTGTTAGTTTTGGAAGTGTAATTACTCAGGACATAATCATTATAATAAGGTATTGGTTTCATACAGAACTTTTCTGGACATTCAAAGACATGTGTCATTATTCATTCACGCCGTACATGGTGGTCTACCTTTAACTAAAATTCAAATGTAGTCATTTTCTGTCGCTTGGTAACAAACTTTATATGGCAGTTAAAGCCCCTTTTTCAAGGTTCTGGTCTAGGACAGGTTCTGGTTCTGAGCGGAGTCAGCCTGGATTTCTACCATAGAAGAGTGAAAATAGTCAAGATGTGAGATTATTCTGGTTGAAGACTGATGGAATAAAAGATCATCATACAAATACCTATCGCAAAACTGTAACCCAGTTCTATATGCCACTGTTTGTACATTTGCCTGCGACAGGAAAATGGCTTCCAAGCGGCGCAAACTGACAACAGTAATCATCATTCATACACTTGTTTAAAAATCATATTCAAATACCCAACTGAGAAAAATGAACAGAGCTGAGACTGAAATATCAACCTTTCAATAGACATATGGATGGTTGGATCATATACAGTATTGGCTGGCAGCTTTTGAGCTATTTTTGAAACTCTATATTGGAAATGTGCAATCAGAACAAGGGGCATTCCCAACCAAAGAAAGAGCAATCAGGACCATGTGGAATGCATGACTATTTCAAGCAGTGAGTGAGACTATGGCAGGGAGAAAAACATGTTATATTTTGAACACACCTCTAATCAGGCTTTTGACCAACAATATCAAAGCCGTCGCAGTTGCATTGAGCTTGTAAGCTTGCAATGTCCACTCCTTTTTCTGGATGGTTGGAAAGACGGCTGGAAAGATAGATGGTTTGGATGTTCTTGTTTGAGTCCCAGGTGGTCCAGTACAAACAGGGGAACAGGTGCACAATGTCAGGAAGACTGATCCAGATTTTGGCTGCAGTAATCTGAAATGTTTTAAGTCTTTGGACCTTATTTAACAGTTTCAGGGAGAGAGATTAAAAAGAGTAAGACAGCAGGCTGAGGTCTGATTTAAAATTTTACTGTAACAGGACTCTTTCTTTTCCCAATGGGTTTTGAGTTTTTCCTTGCAGATGCAGGAGAGTCTGTTAGAGTATTCATTCCTTTTTTACCCATTTATCAATCCATTCCTGCGGGGTGGCAATCAGAACTGCCACCCAATGTTCATAGCACCAGGCTTTCACTGATCCTCCAACAGGTGGTGAGTCCGCGGAAGGATGGCTGTTGTGGACAGTTGTGTTGATCCAGGACACTAGACATTTATGAACTCTGGACATTGGTCGTCTGCCCCGTATGGACACAATACCAATGTCTTTTCTAATGTATTTCTCGTGTTTGAACTGTTTCGGACTTCAACGGTTTGTAAAGTCCTCCGAGATAACTACTGTTGTGATTTAGGGCTATACAAGAACACTTTGGATTAAATTGAATTGCTGCTGCAAACATGAATTATCCAAGGTGAATCAATAGTATAGGTACAAGCAACATTTCTGACGCGGAAAACTGTTGCTTTCCCATTCAAATACAGCAGTATGCAAATGAGGGAGTCTCTGTGTTTGAGGAAGTGTCCGGGTCGGAGTAGAAACACACAGGGCGATTGGTAATGTGTGGGTGGTAAGCAGTTGTCTCCCGTGTGCAGCTGGCCTCACCGAGCGTCGGCCAGTCTGTCTGCCCCGGGTCACATGCTGCGTCCGCCCCTCCGCTCCCACAATGCACCAGTCCTGTCCCCTGCTCCCACACTCAGCTGCTCAGCCCACAGCGTCCTGCACCTGTCTCAGAGGAGCAGTTTGTAACAACAGAAAGTTCCGCTCAGCCAGGTTCCCGGCAAGACGCACTCCATGGTTTCCTATTCCTGCTCTAGTTTGAGTATTTTCATCCACTGCAATAGTATGTTAAAGCTGGGGTACCTAACTTTCCTGATACAAATTGAATAGTTCCATTATGTTAAAGTTGGAGATTATAGTTTTGCGACCTTATTATGCTAAAGCTAGAATTTTTGTACTTGCTTATTTTGTATGATACATTGAGAATTTCTTTTATTTACAAATATATAGTAAATATAGAGTTCATTTATCTCATTAAAATTTGTCAAAAACATTTTCAGCGGTGAAAATCAACGCTGCTGCCACAACCCAATTTTGCACCTGCCGCACCAGACATACAGTACATGCGTGGAGAGCACTCAGCAAGAAGGTCCTGGGTTCGATTCCCCCGAATGCTCTGGTTTTCTCTACCAATGGATAGGGTTGATTGGAGGCTTTGATGCTCCAGTGTGTTTGGAGTCTTTCTTCCAGCATCATTGTGAGTGGAATGATTGGAACAATATCTTATCTAAATGAAGCTGTTATTGTCTGTCCGCTCCAAACGTGTTTGTTCATTAGCTCCTCCGCCTCCGAACGTGAGGAGGTCGTGCATCTCCGTCCCGCTCCGCCGCGTCCGCTCAAAAACTCGTTAGCGCACCTCTCGTTATGGCTTTTCCTCGCGACCCGATCGCACGATTACTCTAATGCAGGTGTATGCTGTGTGGGTGGCCATATTTATTATCATTATGGAGAATGGTAAAACTTTGCCCCCTGACAATAGACTCACTCCCACTGCCGCGACAGACGGTTACAGCCAAGACTCGGTTTGATTTGGTGAAAACATTGTCCTAATGGTGTCAAGGTGCAGTGTGAAACCTCCTGCAGTTGTTAAGTACAGACAAAAATATAGGACAAAAGTTCAAATCTTAGGTCAGGTTGTTCTGTACTTTTCCCACCAGGTAAAGAGAAACAGCACAGTGTTTATAGGAACTAAATTAGAACAAATATTGACCAATCTTATCAAGGTTACAGGTCAAACAGAACTTAAACAGCTCCAAATGGTTGGTATTGAAGAGCAACATGAGGATTCGAAAAAATAACATTGACGACGATGGCGAACATAAACCTAATTGGACTAAAGCAGAGCCAACTATACACAGGGTCAGTTGCTTTAAAGCTGGCAAAAGCAGGTCAATAACAAGACCAGACTGTGGTGAATTTAGGACTGACGATTCAAGGAGCAAATGATTTTACGACACGCTGAAATGCAAAGGTCAAAGAAGGTACAAAGGATCGCACAAGTCTCGAGTATAAAACGATATTTTTTCACACAAAAAGAATCTCACTTTTAAGCTGAAGCAGGAGGGTCTAGGGATTTACAAATGATAGACAGTGCTCAACCCACCTCCCATATGGACCAATGGTACCTATCTGTAGTAGTTACACCAAGTTAGGTCAAGTTTTATAATAATTAGTGCAGAATTCTAAACGGAATTCCCTCCACCTATGCAACAAACCCAGATCCTTATGTAAGAGTTCAATAAGGGCTACCATGGCCATGACAAAATTATTTTCAAAACATTAAACCCTCAGTCCAATTGAGCATTTACAATAGTTTAATAAATCACTGCTCTATCAATCTCTACAGTATCAAGCCACCTGACTGTTTGCCCAGTTTTGATTCAATCTAAATATGACCAAACCTAGCCTGGCTCCAGCCGAACTTTAGCCCCGCCTAGATAACGTTTTACCGGTAGGCAGGGCTGAGATTTGATGGAAGCCAGGCTAGACTGAACCCATTCTGTTGGGTTCAAAATTTGCCAGAAAGGAATAGCCAAACTCAGTGGGGCTGCAACGAGTTCGTCACTAAGTCGCAACAAAGTAGTAGCCCACAAGTGACGGGGAGAGACCAGTGTCCACAGGTGCAGGTGAAAGAGACCTAATTCAGGGTTGCCATCAGATAATAATACCATACTAATACTATAAATGTTACAACTATTTCCAAACAGGGGGAAACTCTTCATAATATCCATCTCGATATGTTTTAGTCGAATAATTGGTCTTCTGTGTCTTCTGGGGATTAAAGGAATGAGACTAAACCAATCCAGAAGCTCCAAAGTTGTAGAGGCTTTTCCAGAGATTGAGAAGCGCAGCAGATAATGCAGCAGTCTGACATAAACACTGGACGGATATTGAGGCCAGAATCAATAAATAATGAGAATAAAATGTCACATGTGTCGCTCAATCAAAAGTCGTTCACGTTGGAATTGCAGGCTGAAAATTGCCCTGTGTGGAGCTATGAATATGATTAGCATTCTTATTTCCCCCATATGCAAAAGCTATAAACACATGGCTTTATCCTATGCTTCCACTTCTTATAGATTTGATTTTAAAAAAATGAAAATGGGAGACTTTACCTTGGCTTTACAATTAGATTTTGTGGTTGAGATTTTCGCCCGCAACCTTGTGTGTGTTTAACCTTCTACAGCTGCAAAGACTTTCATTTGTCCTGAGGCTAGAATACAGTCTGAAAGGAATAAGATTGAGAGATTCTTTATTTGTTGAAATTTCAGTGTTGCATCACAAGTTACAGAGCAATAGGACTGAGGAGCACACAACACAAGATATACCCCAAAAATAAAACAGAATATTTGGGTAGTAAGTTGGGGGTTCAAATATTCTCACTGTACATGTTCGCAGCAGCTCTGGGTTAAAAGTGACTAAAGTGAGAGGGTTCTCATTTTGCACATTCTAACATTATGTCAATTTATTGCACTTTGTACAGTCTGACAGCAGCCGGAGGAAAAGATTGGATAAGGTTGGATAAGGGTGGATAAGGTTGTCACTGTAGCTGCATGAGGAGGCAGCATTTCATATTTATGAAGCTGAAATCTGGAAGTCTTTTTGAAAACGTGAGACCGGTTTCTATTCGGACAATATTCAAATCCTGGTTAAAGACAGTTCTAAGTAAGTAAGTAATTTTTTTTTATATACCGCCTTTCACAGACCAGAGTCACAAAGTGGTTTACAATTGTTATTTTTAGGGGCATTTGTCTCTCACTCCACACAGAGATGGGAGCGGGGTCACCAGCACAGGAGGCGCATGCCAGACCTATTGTATATGTTTTTAGTGGTAGGGGAAACCAGAGTACGCGGAGGAAACCTACGCAGACACGGGGAGAACATGCAAACTCCACTCAGAAAGGCCCTGTTCCAAGTGGGATTCGAACCCAGGACCTTCTTGCTGAGAAACGAGAGAGCTATCCACTCAGCCACCGTGCCACCCTTTTTATCTGTTTATCTGTGAATACAACGGAAGGATTATATCTCTACTCTTTTTAATGTACTGTGATTATGTCAATGCCTTGTGTGAATGTTTCCATCTGGTTTGGCAAAGCACTTTGAGTTGCCTTGTGTATTATCTGTGCTATACAAATAAACTTGCCTGGCCATACAGGTAAATTAGAATATCATTCAAAAGATAATCTATTTCTGGAATTCCACATAAAAAGAGAACCCAATACACACTAGTAGAAACAATTAGGCCCAACTCCCAAGACATTTTGTACTTTATATAAAAATCCCATTCACTCTTTAGATATTTCTAACAAAAACCTTCAAAATGAACCTTATACAACTGAAATCTGAAATTAATAATCCTTAGGTTAATGTATTTATTGTTAAAATGTACGAGGTTTCAGCCAACTGATACAAGACGTCCATGTTGGTCATTATCACCCAGTGTAAAAGAATTTATTTGGAGAAAGACTTAGCTTCCAACCTTACCTCGAAACACCAGCATGAGGTTTTGTGCATTATACATTCCAGCTTTACATTAGATTTGACGCATTCAATTGTCATCCGTAAAAAAGGCCACCTCTCTCTGACCTTTCACAGAGATTGTATTTACCTGGGAGTTGGGGAAAATTGGACAGCGTATTATTCAGATTCAGATTTGTGACCAATGACTCAGAGGACATAAAGCAGCGCTGACATTTGGCTACAGGTCGTCTCAACCGTTAAAGTGCCGTGTGCTTAACGCGCCACATTACGACAAAAAGGGGCAAAACAATATGACCTTGATCACAGACATCTATGGCAGAGATTAGTGATAATTTGATCAGTGGGAAGAGGACACAGGCCTAAACTATTCAAGCAGGTAGTGGCTGTGAGCGAATGTGTGTTTCCTGACTTTATTATAATTTACAACAAGAACGGACAAGGACTTATGAATAGTTTATTTGCAAAAAACAGATAAGTGACTTTGGAAAAATGTTGGAGAGGCTTTCAATTTACTCTTTATCGCTCTGTGGCCTGGCACCAAAGTACATCTGTGACATGTTTTGTGTCATATGAACCAAATTGGACTCTGAGGAGCACAGGGACTGGCCTCCTACTGGTCCCCAAAGCCAGGACTAAACATGGGAAGGCATAGTGTGTCGGATTTTTGTGGCTAAAATCTTGAACAGTCTTCCTGAAAAGGTGAGACAGGTTCAACTCTGCCAATTTTCAAATCCAGGTTAAAAAGAGTTCTGTTCAGCTGTAATGTACTGTGATAAAGATTACGATTTTGATACCGTTTTGTTAAGTACTTTTAGTTGCCTATGAACAGATTTAAACAACAAATACACTTGCCTCTCCTTGAGTTGTAATTGTGTGTAAAACGGTTTTGAAACTATTGTTTATTGCAATATATTGTCCATGTTGTTAAATACAGCCTTGCTTTACTGTAAATAGACGTTCTAAAGACCAGTAGTACTCCATGGCGGCTCTTTGATAGAACTGACTGTAAAAAAAAACATGCCATTCTCTCAGGGCTGTGGTCCAGAGTGGCGTGCACATGGCAGAGCGGGGGGAACAGACCGGTCGCACGGGTGGTCCTGGACGACCCATCATCCGGGACTGGACATTTGGAGAGCCCAGTGCTGCATGGGACCCAAACAGAACAGTATCTGAGGAGGACATGAGGCGGCTCCGCGGGGGACAAAGGT